CTTGACAGTGAAGCACAGTCAGTTTAACCTATTTTTTTTTTCTGTAAGATTTTCATCAAGAATGATATGAGGAGGGGAAGAAATGCATGATTTAAGATTCAGATGAGCATAGATATTCTTTGGGAAAGGTAATTTCTCTGTCTTTCATTTTCTGTCATGTGTTGTGTTCCTTTTTTATTTTAATTAAATTTATTGGTGTGACATTGATTAATAAGATTATATGGGTTTCAAGTGTGCATTTCTATGATACATGATCTGCATATTGAGTTGTATGTCCACCACTCAAAGTCAAATCTTCTGTCACTATATACTAGTATTTGCCCACTTTATACTTTGCTACTCCCCACCCCACTTTCCTCTGGGAACCACCATATTGTTGTCTGTGTTTATAAATTTCAGTTTTATATCCCACATATGGGTGAAATTATATGGTTCTTAGCTTTTTCTGTCTGACTTATTTCCTTTTCTGTCTTTATTTCCTTTTATTGAACTTAGCATATTATTGTCAAGGTTCATTCATGCTGTCACAAATGACAGTATTTCATCTTTTCTTGTGGCTGAATAGTGTTCCATAATATAGATGTACCACAACTTCTTTATCCAATCATATATCAACCATAAAGGCACTGAGTAATGTAGTATTGTAGATTTATTTCTTGAAGCTCTTCATGTGCACATAAAGGAAATTGTTTGAAAATAATACAGAAAGTACACATTTCTTATTGAAAGGAATTTTAGAAACAGAACAAGCAATTAGGAAATAAAGAGGGTCCATGGGAGAGGAATGAATATGAGGTGGGCAAAAATAGCTCCAAGAAGCCAAAATGCTTATCTTACTTATACAGAGGATAAAGAAATGACATAGGGTAAGGGGGGTGGAAGACATACATTCACAGAGGATAAAGAAAAGTCACAGGATACTGGGAAGAGGGAAACATATTTTCACTGGGGATAGAGGAATGAGAGAAAGAGGGGGGCACCACTGGACTTTGGACTTTGAAACTGATACTATGTAGCAGGATGACCAATGAGGAAAGCGTGAGGGGTCCTAAATTAATGAAGGGTCCAATTAGAAAGGGTCATACTCAGACAAAGAGCTACAGCATATAAACTGGAGATAAAGGGACATGAGAGAGATTTTTTTAGATTGATTTTTTTTTGAGAGAGAGAGAGAGACAGAGACAGAGAGAGAGACAGAGAGACAGAGAGAGAAAACAGGCTTTTCCTTTTGGGGGACCCCTCCTCAAGGGGTCCCCTTTGGGAACACCTCTGCCCAGAGTTTGTATATGCTTCAATAAACTTCCACATTTTTATCAAATACATTTTCAGTCCATGAGTTTATTCTTCAAACTTCGTACGGCAAGGACCCACAGAAAAAAAGTCTGTACCTCAAATGCCATATTTCATTATTATTTCATTTAACATACCATAGAATAATAGTTCACAGTTATGTAATGGAAACAATTAATTTACCTAAAATGAAGGGATGTATTGAATGTGTATCCAAACATATCATTCACAAAGAAGTATGTATTCTTCCTAAAGCCAATGTAGTTACTTTTTACTTGATAAGATTTTATTATCTTGAAAGTCCTTCCATACTATTAAAAACTTACAATTACCTTTAGGTTTACCTTCTCTTTATAGAATGCTTAGTCAATTACCATTGCACTGAGATTTTTTCCAACATGTGTTTCCATTTTATATAGAAACAAAATTTATATTTATAAGATTTAAAGATGATAGAAATTTATCACTTATTACAACTTGAGTAGTTATATATTTATAAGCATTTGTATATTTGTATATTATCTATAATATTAAATACCTGGATATTGAAGTTTGAATATTAGAAATTTGTTCAAAATTATAAATGATTCAATTATTCTTTAATTTAAAAAAATTATGCTAACAATTATTTGTAGTGTAATATAAAATATTTTTATCATGCTAAAGGACAAAAGTATATTAAATTAACCATTGTCCATAAAAATTCCTCAGAAAGATGGTCACCCAAAATAAAAATAAATAAATAAATAAATAAATATTATCTATTAGAATTTGTCAGATTGAAAGTGCCATCTAATATGCTAAGTATTAATAATCAGGAAAGTTAAAATCCTTTTTCATTTATACTCTTTATTTTCTATTTGATGTCCTACATAACAGGACAAAAATCTTATAATAATAACTAGAGGCCTGGTGCACGAAATTTGTGCATGGGTAGGGTCCCTAGGCCTGGCTGGCGATCAGGGCTGGGGCCTTCCTTCCCCTGTTACAGCCCGCGGGCCAGAACCTTCCTTTGTTCTTCCCCCCCACGGTGGTCAGTGCACGTCATAGCAAGCAATCAAACTCCCAGTCTCCCAGTCGAACTCTGGAGGGGACACTGCATATTAGCCTTTTATATATATAGATGTTATTTTATATCAAAATAATATATATAAAAATAAATTTTATGACAATACAGATAAATTTATCTTTGTGTAATTGTCCTTTACATAATTGAATATCTTGTTACCTATATCTTTTCTTAGGAACACCCTTATGATTTTTTTTCCTCAATATACACCCACAAATATGAAGCAAATATAGTCCTGTAAGCCACTAATGGATTCCAAAGAACCTGTGATTACAGTGTGTGATTAGGTCTCCAGTTGGTGATATGCATACATGGCTAAATCAGCAGATTTCATTTTGTTAATCAGAAATTCATCTACACCATGGTAAAAAAAAATCAGATGTGTTGTTAAAATATATCTTAAAGTGCATTTAAATTCACATCACTAGTAAGTGGAAAGACTCGGAAAACACTGGTCCATTATAAGACACCTGGTCTTGAAAGATGTTATAACAAAGTGATAACATTTTCTTTCATGATTGCCTAATCATCTGATTACCTTCCCTAATGTCTCGACTCCCCTCATCAATGTGTTCCTCCATCAGTTTGAAAACTTAGGATGCATAGGCCAAATACCCTGCTGTGGTCAAATATCAAGCTTGCCTAGAATTTGTCTCATTGTTGCTGCAGCCTTCTGTGTGAAAAATTTCTTGGAATTTATAACTAAGCCTAGATAAGTTCTACCTCATTTCTGCCCCACCCCAATGATTGGGTCTGGTTGTGGGCCCTGGCCCCTCTGTGTTGAGTATAACCAAATTAGTAATTATACTAGCTCCATATTGAGCGATGAATTTATTTACAATGAGAATTCCAAATGACTACTGCCATCTTAAAATATCAATCTCTAATTTCAGTTATTCTTTATTCTCCTTTTATTGAACTCATTAGGGTGATACTGGTTAATAAGATTATATGGGTTTTCAGGTGCACATGTTCATAACTCATCTGTACACTCTATTGTGTATTCACCATCCCAATTCAAGTCTCTATCACCATTTATCTGCCCTTCACCTTCCTCCATTCCCATCCCTAGCAATCGCAATCACCACACAGTTTTTCGTGTCCATAAGTTATTTCTTTTTTTCCCCATTTTTTCCTTTTTGTTCAATCCCTCCACTTGTGTGCTGTTGGTGGGAATGCAGATTGGTGCAGCCACTGTAGAAAGCAGTATGGCATTGCCTCCAAAAATGAAAAATGGAACTGCCTTATAACCCAGCAAGTCCACATCTGGGAATTTATCCAAAGAAATCAGAAACACTAATTTGAAAGAATGTATGCAGTCCTATGTTCATTGCAGTGTTACTTATAATAGCCAAGAGTTGGAAGCAGCCCAAGGGCCCATCAGTAGATAAAAAAATATGTGATACATTTACACTATCAAATACTAGTAGGCCGTAGAAAAGTAGGATATCTTACCCTTTGCAACATCATGGATAGACCTGTAGAGTATTATGCTAAGTGAAATAAGCCAGAAAAAAACAAGTACCATATGATTTCACTCATATGTGGAATCTAATACACAAAATTCACTAACAAGCAAAATAGAGAGACTCAATTTCAACTGTACTTGCTGTATGCAGAAGCTACAGAAGAAAATAGAAGGAACATGTGACATCTCTGTGAAGATGTTGATCACAGAAGTTGCCCACAATACATCTTAGTAGAGATGGAAAATGCTGATGAAAATTTCAGGAGGGCAAAGACATGTGAGTCTCAAGAACATACGGATTTTCACAATTAGCCGTTGTCTAAAAGAATAAATGTTTACATGACATCAAACTTCAGAAAACAGCACTGCTCATTCTTCAGAGGTAACTAAATAGCTCAGAGTAACACTGAAATTCTAAAAATAACAAGGACTTTTAAGTTTTGTGTAGAAAATAATGCAAAATGAAAACATTTATTCCTCAAAGTTTTTCTTTAAAGAATATACTCATGACTTTAAAGACATTGTCTTTAGTGACTTCTCTTCATGTATCCATGGTGTTACAACTGCACACAAAGGTTTCTTCTGAACACCTTTGTTAACACAGCCTGGCAGATATTCAATAGCAAATTGTGTTCCAGGCAGTGAATTTATAATGTTGTAGCAGAAACAATCTCTTGAATGTTGTAAGCCTTTATATATATGTTGGAAAAATCAATAACATGGATAAACATGTAGCAAACTAGCCTATGCACTTTTGAGGTATAGTGAAACTAGGTAATGTGGACAGGAGTAACTTCCTAAGGGCAAATAATCCTGTATGTAAGTGAAATATGATAAAATTCATTGAATTTATTTACTAGCACAAATAAATGGCAATGTTGAAAGATAAATAATGTATATATATTACATAACATACACTTCAAAATTCAGTTAGATTATTTTTAAGAATAATTTAACTTAATATAAAGGCATATTTTGTGCTATAACTATATAAAATAAAGTATGTTAAAAGTATATTTATTCTATATTTTTTGGTTGACTTAGAAAACTCTAATAAATATCAGCATAATGCAATTGCATTAAAATAACAAATTATTTAGAATACTTTTTGTTTCACTTTTATCAATAATAGAGCAGAGAATTGATTAGTAACATTAGATTTTCTTTTTTCAGTGTATCAACATTTTCTGTACAAGACAGATTATGACAGCTTCTTTCTTAAGGTGATATTGGATGTCATTCACAGTAGAATTCTGAGGGGCTCTAATTATTTTTATGTATTATCAAAGATATTCCTTAAGTCAAATGGTCTCAGGATAGCTGTGCATGCCTAAATTGAGGGCATTTGCTCATTAGTTTTATAGACACAAGTTCTATTTGTTCAACAGTACTCCTTTCACAGTAAACTCTAGAGGATGTTTATTGCAAATTTCTGAGTTTATCAAGGCATGTAACTTGACATTTTTATTAAAAACTTGGAAATGTACTGATGATAGAAGACATAACAAGTCATAGAACAAAAATAAAATACAACTAATACAATTAAAACTATCTCCCAGAATAAATGTACACATGCACACACACACACACTCACACACACCCCACACACAGGCATGTTATCTTTAATTTTCTCCTAAAATATAAGTATATTAGATTTTTTAAAATTTTCATAAGCCATCCACACTCTGCTAATATTATGGGTGTAGTTGCTCTATTATTCTAAGATTTAGAAATCATTACTATTGTATTATAAATTAACTAGAAGGCCTGGCTGCATGAAAATTCATGCACTGGACGGGGGGGTGGCTCAGCCCAGCCTGCCCCCTCTCACAGTCCGGGAGCCCTCCGGGATGGGAGGTGACACGATGATCAGGGGAAGGTAATGCCCCATCACACCTCTGCTGCTGCCACTGCTGGCAGCGCAAGCCTCGGCCGGCCCTGGTTACTGGAGCCTCAGGTGGCCCTGGGAGGCTGGGCAGCACCATGCGAGGCTTGCCTGTGCCTCGGGCCAGCCCTGGGTGGCTGGGGGCTGAGGGAAATGGGGGACTCTGGAGGCAGGCGTGTGGCCATGCCATGTGCCTGCCGCCTCGGCAGGGCTGAGGGGACTGGGCACCGCCATCTTGTGGCTGTGGGTGCCACCATCTTTGAGGGTGGGGCAGTCAATTAGCAAAGTCCCTCCTTATTGGCTGTGGGCACCCCCATCTTTGAGGGCGGTGCAGTCAATTAGCAAAGTCCCTCCTTATTGGTTGTGGGCACCCCCATCTTTGAGGGAGGTGCAGTCAATTAGCATATTCCCTTCTTATTGGCTGTGGGCACCACCCTCTTTGAGGGCGGGCCAGTCGATTAGAATTAGCATATTCCTGCCTTATTGGCTGTGGGCGTCGCCATCTTCGTGATGGTGTGAAGGGCTATTAGCATATTCACTCTTTATTAGATAGGATATTATATTTAATTTATTCACTTATTTACAAATGTTTTGCCATTCCTTCCTATCAGAACTTTCACCTTACCTACATGATTAATGTATATTCTCTAGACTTTCCTTTAGGGAAGACTTCTTAGTTTTTCTTTGTCTGAAAGTATTTTTATTTTGCTCTTGTTCTTAAAAATTATTTCCCTGGACTGTGAGTCTAGATGTCAGTTACTTTCCTGACACCATTGAAAATTTTATTCTATTGTTTTTTGGATTTCATTAATTAAGGAAAAACCAATCGTCTGTCTAGTGGCTGTAACTGTGCTGTAATTTGTTATTTCTCTTTGGCTGCTTTTAAAATCATTTCCTGATCCTCGGTGTTCTGAAGCTGCTTACGATGTGTTTCCATATTGTCTTTATGTGTCCTACTTTACTTTGTTGATCTTTCTGAATCCAAAGATAGATGTACTTCAACAATTCTGGAATTCCTTATTCATCATTCATCTCCTTTAATGTGACTTCCTATGTTTTTCTCTGTTATGTTTCTTTTTTTTTTCTTCAAATAATTTCATAGTTTCTTTTTGTTGTTGTTAATCCTCACCAGATGCTATTTTCCCATTAATTTTTAGAGAGTGGGAGAGGGGAGGGGAGAGAGAGAGAGAGAGAGAGAGAGAGAGAGAGAGATCAATTGCTTGCCTCCTGCACTCACCAGGATAGAGCCTTGCAACAGAGATATGCACCCCTGACCGGAATTGAACCTTAGACCCTTCAGTCCTCAGGCCAATGCTTGATCCACTGAGCCAAACCTGGTAGGGCCATTTCATAGTTTCTTATTGCCACATTTTTTTAATCTACAACCAGTTCACTGATTTGATTTGCATTTGTGACTTCCTTTAAATAAATCTCTTTTTATTATTTTAATTTTTATATTAAGAAATTCAATTTAAGCATTTTATACATTTAATAGTCTCTTCTTTGTTGTTCTTATATTCCATCTCAACCTCTATTTTCATTTTGTGGTTATGATTGTACTCTGGTGTTTCTCCTTATTTTCCCTCATGAAATCATTTTCCTTGTGTGTTTTTGTTTTTGACTATGACATCACATATCTGGAATGTTATTGATTAATGTTATATTTTTGACAAAACAAACAGCATTAATTCAGGTTTCAGATCTGTGATGAGGACCAAGTTGTTTTATGATCTCTTTTCCTTCAGCTAGCATTAAGAACATGACTATATATATAGTTTTTTCCAGGCTGCCAGATGTCAGAAGCAGGGATTTGAGAGGTGCAGGAGGTGGGACTAGATGAAAGAAGGTGAAGAGATTAGCCAAAGAACATATATGCATAACATATACACATAGACAACAGTTAGGTGATGGCCAGAGGGAAAGGGGTAAGGGCTGGATGGAGATGGGCAAAGGAGGGGAAAATGGGAACATCTATAATAGTGTCAACAATGAAAGTAAAGTTTAACAAAAGTAAAAAAAAATGAATGAAAATTTATATATATTTTTCAAACCCCTTGTCCCTATGGACTTTATTTCTCACTTTGCAGGAGGCGTGTTCTATTATACTTTTTACTCTGTTCCTCATGAAGCAGTCAGTCAATAGGAAAGCTTAAGGCTTCCAAGGATCACTAGAAATCTTGGTGCTGAAAGCTGGCTTTGGTGATTCCCTACCTCTTAGGTTCCCAGTTTTACTTTGATCTTAGGATTTACATAGTTTTTTTTTTATGTCATGTGTGTATAGACATAATTTTTATTTATTCTTAAAAAATGTTTAATAGTTACTTATTTTTTTAAAGAAAGAGAGGAAGGAAGGAGAGAGAAACATTCATGTGAGAGTGTAACATTGATCAACTGCCTCCTGTAGACCCCCTAGTGGGGACTGAACCCGAAACCTGGGCCTGTGCACTGACCAGGAATAGATCCAGCAACCTCTTGGTGGCAGGATTATGCCCAAACAACTGAGCCACACTGGCCAGTACCATAATTTTATTTTAATTTAATTGTTTTTATCCTTCATCAGAAAATTAATTCTGAGTATATAGATACAATATACTGGTTTGAAGCAGAAATCAATTGTTTGTAGCTCTATAGTAATACTTAATTATTTACATTATGCAGACAATGTAAACAGTGATATTTTTCTCTTTAACTCAACATAAATAAGTAACCTCTGCTTAAACTTTAATTCAAACTAATTTCCTACATCTGTGGATTTCCAACCTTTTTCTTACATAACCCTGATGAGCTTCTGTTATGTCTTTCTCGTCCTTAAGGCAAAAACTTTATCACATTAATCTTATTAAATTATTAAGCCCTGTCACAGAAAAAAATGAGCATAATTTTGTTTGATTCTGCTTTGAATAAAATAAAAAGCATAATTTTGTTCCTGTTCTAATCTTTTAGACTTTACAAGCACACAATGTTAATTTTATAGCATTTGGGATTCTTACAATTATCATTAATGGTTATTGTTTAACTAAGTAGGAAATTCATAAAATGCCCATTCAGGCTCACTAGTGATGTTATCCATGTGATAATTGAAAAAGGAAGGTAAAATTGGATGGAGATGTGCATAGCCATCTCTTTACTCATGTGGAAGATGTGTATGTAAGGTAACTATTGTTGGCATTTTCTGGCATAAACATGTCAAAAATTTCTAGTTACTACCTTTAGAGCATGGAATTTTCACATTGGTTTAAATCAGCAAGAATTATTTGTATAAATTAGTATTTATATTGTTCATTGCTCTGTTTGGTTTTATATTTTTCCTTTAAAATACATTACATGCTATATTCTTGTTTTGTTTTCAAAAAATAATGTAAAAATGCCATTATGAAAACATCTGTATAATAAAAGCCTAAGCAACCGCTATGTCAGAATGACCAGAACAACCAGTCACTATGATGTGCACTGACCACCAGGGGGAAGGCGCTCAATGCAGGAGCTGCTCCCTGGAGTTCAGTGCACTCCCACAGGGGGAGCAACGCTCAGCCAGAAGCTGGGCTCAAGGTTGGTGAGCACAGCAGCGGTGGCGGGAGCCTCTTCTGCCTCCGCAGCAGCACTAAGGAGCAGTGAGCAGAGCAGTAAGGAGCAGCGAGCAGGCGGTGGTAAGGTTCGAGGGATCCTGGACTGCGAGAGGGATGTCTGACTGCCGGCTTAGGGTTGCGTAGAGCTGGCCTAAGCTGGCAGTCGAACATCCCCCAAGGGGTTCCAGACTGTGAGAGGGCACAGGCCAGGCTGAGGGACCCCCCATTCCAGTGCATGCATTTTGTGCACTGGGCCTCTACTTTAATTTATTAAAAGGTTGTGTTTTGAAGGAGGGAGAAGGGGATTTTCAAACTGAAATTTCAATCCATCAGTACTGAGTTTATTTTCACAAGCTGTTTTTTAATTTTTATTTTTCAGTAGTGTTTAGTAGCAATTAGAATTCACAGTAATTTCTGTTTTTCCAAATATTATAGTGTATGTGGTTCATTTCTTTTAATGCTTTGAGGGGTAGAATTCTTTAATTATATTGCATTCTTGCATTTCTACTCCTGCAGCTACCTAATGTTAAGCCAAAGAGTTAATACCAAAGTACTAACAACAGGAAACGATTTTATTTAAATATAGTTGAACTGGTCAACTTTGTGGAGATATTTTAGTGGGCAATTGTGCATTGTAGTATTCAATGTTAGCCCACAGAAAAACCTAACTCTTCATAACCCTTTAATCACAATAGACATGTGATCCCATATTACCTGTCTGCTATTTTTTATAAATATGGACTCTTTAGATACTGAGTTGTCATTTTTTCAC